AACTAGATTTTGGTATCTATATAGTATGCTCATGAGAAATGAGTAAACAACTCAAATACCTGCATGATGAAATGCCACTCCCCATGGTAAAGTACGCTGGAGCACAGAGTCCAGACCGGACGGTGAGCGCCTTAGCTGGTCCATCACCTCTTCTATTCCTTCCTTGTCCAAGGCAACTGGTGAAAGTGCTGAGGTTTTGGTAAACCCTTTAGTCAGGAGAGAGAAAGAATATTTGTATAGCTCTCAGCTGGCTTACTCTGCTATAAAGGCATAGTGCAGCTCATAGTCTCCTATTAAGCTCCTTTCTCATTCCCTCTTACTCTCAGCCTGCTGCAGGGACCAGTGTTGCAGATTGTAGAACTCCCTGGCTATGATGTCTGCCAGTTTTTCACACCAGTTCTTGGATGGACAGAAGAGTAGGACTGAATGGCCATCGCGAATGGTCTCGTAACACAGGCTCACCACATGGTCTTCATCTCCCTGAATTGAGACAGACAATTCTTTCAACAAGTTATTGTATCATACAGGGTTTGTAAAAGCTGCCATTTTGGCCTCTATCCCACTTCAAATCCCCTATCCCAATTCAGAGAGAGAAACAAGGGAAAGAAAGGGAGCTGAGTTTTCTTGACTTTTGAAAGTCTAGGGATTAGTATGGTACACTGATGTATACATGTCTTGGGCCCAACAGATAAATCTGCAGATTTGTGTCAAATTATCCCTGGCTTACTCCCATTGTTACAATCACAATTAAAACCTTTTTAACCTTTTATTAACACAAAAAGAACAGTTAAATTATTTGAAACTTCAGAAGTTAAGTAAAAACTTTAACAATTCTCTTATTCCCTTTAGTTGTATAGAGTTTCTTATATGGAAACCTCCCTTGTCTGATAGTTTCTTTAGGTGGTATTAAAGATGAAAGTCGAGTGGTTATTAAAGTTCGCAAACATACACACTCCCAAGAGAAGGAAAAGAATAAGGAAGTATAACTTCTTGTTGATTTTGTGTGTGTGCGTGTGTGTGTGTGTGTGTGAGAGAGAGAGAGTGTGAGTGTGAGTGTGAGTGTGTGAGAGAGAGATGATTTCTTGGAAATTACAGGCAAAGCACATACCGTAATTTTAATAGCCGCACAGACACTTAAAGTCTTACTAGTCAGACTAAAATCTTTGTCAATAGCTTGCTTTTTTGATTACAGGTTAATAGCATGTTTCTGACATGGATTTGTTCTGGATAGTTAAACCAGATTATTTTTAAGCAGACGGCCAAAGGAGGAATAAAGGCAAGAGTAGAAGTCAGGTAGGGAAGGAAAAACAATATTATACTACAAAGAAAGCAGTAGCAGAAACTTCAAGTGCACATGACAAGTCTTGTTCAGAATTCTGCCAAACCCAGCAGAGGTGGTGATGTTATCTGGCTCCCTTTTCATGCCCAGTCTAGTTAGGACATCTTCCAGGATCATGACAAAGGCCCAAGACCATGACGGTAGATCCCAGGGACCCAGTGAGCTGTGGTCACCTTAAAGGTGAAACTCCTTCCCTCAAGCTGTTGAGTCCACAAATTTGACTTTCCAGCCCACCTAGCTTAAGCATATTGCCATGTAACCTCTTGAAAAACGGACAGCAACCTGATCCCATCAAAAGTATTCAATTAAAACACAGTTACAGTTATTCCAATTATAAACATTTATTTTGGTTTCTGGAATCCCTCCACTTGTTATGCCAAATCATGATCTCTAATCATAGTTTTTTGTTTAAACAAATCCAATTTTTGCCACTCTCTCTCAAATTTTGCTTATTTTATATAACAGGCTGAGCTGGTCTTAGAATCATAGAAATGTAGGACTGGACGGAACCTTGATAGGTCAGCTAGTTCAGTCCCCTCCACTGAGGCAGGTCTAAGTATTATCTAGACCATCCCTGACAGGCGTTTGTCTAACCTCCAGTGACAGAGATTCCACAACCTCCCTATGTAATTGGTTCCAATGCTTAATTTACAGTTAGAGTTTTTCCTAATGTCTAACCTAAATCTCCCTTGCTGCAATTTAAGCCCATTGCTCCTTGTCCTGTCCTCAGTGGATCAGGAAAACAATTTATCATCCTCCTCTTTATAACAACCTTTTCCATACTTGAAGACTATCACGTTCCTCTCCCCAACCCCTCAATCTTCTCTTCTCCTGAGAAAACCCAATATTTTCAATCTTTCCTCGTAGGTCACATTTTCTAGACCTTTAACCATTTTTGTTGCTCTCCTCTGGACTTTCTCCGATTTGTCCACATCTTTCCCACTTTGTGATGCCCAGAACTGGCCACAACTCCAGTTGATGCCTTATCAATGCTGAATAGAGCGGAAGAATTACTTCTCATGTCTTGCTTACAACACTCCTGCTAATAAATCTCAGAATGATGTTTGATTTTTTGCAACTGTATTACACTGACAATTCATATTTAGTTTGTGATCCACTATAACACCCAGATCCTTTTCTGCATATTCCTTCCTAGACAATCATTTCCCATTTTGTATAAGGAAGAAATAATCAATTGCACAAAGTGTAGTACTCTACATTTGTCCTTACTGAATTTCATCCTATTTATTTCAGACCATTTCTCAAATTTGCCAAGATTATTTTGAATTCTAATCCTGTCCTCCAAAGAGATTGCAACCTCTCCCATCTTGGAATCACCCTCAAACTTTATAAGTGTATTCTCTATGCCATTATCGAAATCATTTATGAAGATACGGAATAGAACTGGACCCAGGACAGATCCCTACGGAACCCCACTCAATGTGTCCTTCCATCTTCACTGTGAACACTGATAACTACTCTCTCTATGGTTTTCCAACCAGATGTGCAGCCACCATATAGTAGGTTCATCTAGTATATACTTCCCTAGTTCGCTTATGAGATGATCATGTGAGACAGCTGTCACATTCCAGGGTGCAATCCAGACCAGTGAGGGGTTGCGTCACCGCTTGCCCTGCAACCTTGGGCACCTCACAATGCTTTGCTGTTGTAGCTCCCAACCTGGGGCCACTCACAAACAGTCTACCAGCATGCAGGTCACACTCTGAGTATTTGTGTATAGCTACAGCCCTGGTCCAGCAACTTTGCCCCAGCAGCCTGTCAGCAACACACCAGCCACATGCTGGCTTCCAGCAGCCTTGGTTACTACCTGAAGGGTGACCCCAACACACTCTCAGTGCCAAATTTTCCCAAAAAACATGTGTTCTGCAGTGTCCAGCCTTCACCTGGGCAGTTCAGATATTAGAGGTCTGTTGCCCTGTAAGGGATCAATATTCAACTGTTTACTATTTTAAATGGAGTTACCAAACAGTTTAGTTCAAACACAACATGGGACAGTTTATATTTAAAAAAAAAAAAAAAAAAACATGTTTATTTAAAGAGATTTTAAGTGAGCATATATATAAGGTATTAAAGTCAGAAATAGTTACAAGAGAAAAAGACTTTCTGGTATCTAAAACTTAACAAGCTAGACCTGGCCCAAGGTAAAATCCCCATAGTTCCCAGCAATATTGCTGACCAAATTTTCAGATCAGAAACTCCCCCAAATTCAAAGGGCTGGTTCCTTTGTCTTCTGAGATGAATGTGTGTGAAATAGGGAAAAATATAAGGAGAGATGACATTGGAGTGTTTTTGCCCTTCACTTTTATAGTCCAGTCACACTTCGAAGTTGATTCTTCTAAGGATTACCCCTCAAAGCAAAGTTTATTCATACAGTAAAGGTGGTGACATGGAGTCCAGTGGTGAAGGTTGCTCCATGCTCTTTCTTCTCTCTGGTGTATGCTAAAATGCAGATCTGTTGTCTACTGCCATTTCTACCTCATGCTGTCTCAAGGACCCTGTTTACTACTTATATGTAAATTGAGGTAAACACATTCCTGTGTTTAGGATAGACCTGTTTAACAACTTTTGTCTAGGCAGAGCTGTGTGATTTTGAACATGTGCTATCATCTTACAAGGGAAATTCATAACTTTGCACAGGATGTTGCTACATACAGTTCACCATATTATTGACCGGCAAGCTATTAGTTTTCAAATGATACCTCACAAGGTATATTTTGTACAATTATTACAATGGTGTATAGGGAGCGAATATAGGGCCACTTTCAGTAAGAACAATATCAAAAGCTTTACTAAAGTCAAGATGTATCATCTTCTCCTTCCCCCCCACTAACAAGGCTTGTTACCCTATCAAAGTAGGGTATTAGGTAGGTCTGACAGTTTGTTTTTGACAAATCCATCTTAACAGTTATTTATCTTCTAAGGTGCTTACAATTGATCAATTGCTCCATTATCTTTCCAGGTACCAATGTTCAGCTGACTGGTCTATAATTCCCTGGGCTCCCCTTATTCCCCTTTTCATAGATGGGAAATATAGTACCTCTTTTCTAGTCCTCTGGCATCTCTCCTGTCCTCCACGAGTTCTAAAAGATAATCACTAGTGGCTCAGAGATCTCTTTGGCCAGTTCCTTAAATATTTTAGGACAGTGGTTTTCAACCTTTTTTCATTTGCGGACCCCTAAAAAAATGTAAAATGGAGGTGCAAACCCCTTTGGAAATCTTAATAGTCTGCGGATCCCCAAGGGTCTATGGACCACAGGTTGAAAACCACTGCTCTAGGATGTATTTCGTCAGGCCCCGCCAACCTGAAGACATCTAAGGGTATGTGTACACTGCAATATAAGCCTACGGTTAGTGGGACTCGAGTCATCTGACCTAGGTTAGAAAATCCTGGGCTTGAGTGACTACACTGATTCTTAACCCTATGTTAAGATTTTTCTAACCAGGGCTTGAACCTGGGGTGCTGATATCCGCACTGCAGCACGCAGACCCAAGTCAAAGCAATCGCAGAGTCCCTAGCACCCTCTCAAAATGCAACTGCTCTAGCCTTTTGACCATGATGCACTGTGGGAAAACTTTACTGCCCACCCTGCATGCTACAGGAAATTTGAACAGCCCACCAACACAGCCTGCCGAGTCATTTTGGTCTGTGTGCTCCCAGCTATCAAAGCCAGCAACAGAGAGGAGCAGCCTTTTGAAAAACTTCTCTTGCTTACGCTTTCATTCCTGTGTCAGAAAACGGACAGAGCTTCGGAGATGCGCCAATGGGCATTTCGGCAGCTTTTTCTGACCCACCAAACGCACCTGACAGATTTCATGATGGAGTGAGAGGAGGAGGAGACATGGCAGACTCGCACTGGCTGATGCTGCTAAGTAAAATCGGCATATTTTACTTAGCAGTAAACCAGCTGATGTTATGTAGACCGGCACTTCTGATGCAGGGCCACAAGCACAGACTGATGGGCTCCCATTGTCACACAGACCTAGGATGACCAGCAGTGGATCCAGAACCCTTGCATGAAGAAAGCTACATTCCTGCAGCTTTGTGAGCAGCTTGCCCCAACCCTCCAGCCTAAAGACACTCACCCTTGCCAGTCCAGAAGGAGGTTGTTAAAGCAGTCTG